CTGTGACCAAACAATATTGAAGGTCTATAAAATTATGGTCTATTGGAGCAATAACGATTTTATAGAGAGCATTTTACATTTAATTTTGTACATTTTCGAGGGGTGATGGATAAAATAGGGATGATGACATGCTAAGACAAAATGTGTCATGTGAGTTACACTAGTGGAAATTCAGGATTGTTTATATATTTTCTTTTAGAATTTAGAACTTAGAACTTGTATACTATTAAAATATAGATTATTAGCTAAGATTTTATGCTATTCTAATTGATAAAACATAAACAAAAAGTACTTTAATAAAATTTTGAATATAAGACACTAAAACCTTGTGTCATGTGCAGTAAATAGTACCTGTGGAGAAAGGGTTAAAGGTCATTGCTTATGAAATTTCTACTTTATCTTTTGAGATATTCGTGCCATATATGTCACAGTTGATTCTTTATATTACTAGGTTTTAACAAAAACTGGAAATAAACTACAGCTTTATGTAAAGAGTTCTCAGAACAGTGCTAGCGAGAATAACACATCTTGGTTACGAGTTTCACCACCAACAGTGAGCCAGGAGGTAGAAACTGAAGAGTTTGTATTTTTGAGTGACAGAGACAATGCCAGTACATCAGAAACAGCTAGTGATGGAAATCAAAGTGATCCAGTAACCAGAGAGGTAAGCTCTTACATTATTTTTTTGTTTATTTGAATAGCCATTTATTTGTATTTGTTGTAGAAGTTAAATATTAGTTTATAATTTATACATTGTGACATTCAGGTATACTGATGTACAGTAGAAAGTTATAAATATTCTTAATACAGCACAGCAGGATTAGGAAATGTTATGCAAAGAATAATTGAGAAAATGTATAGAAAAGAATTGTTGCCCAATAGAAAGGACAGTATCTAACATTAAATTTTAGATGCATCCATTTTAGCTTTCCCCACATTCCTGTATGTAGATAGTTCTTTTACAGTTCTGAGATTCTGGTATACCGTATTTCGGATTCCAACCTAACCGGTTTTCTATCCCTTTTTCGTTGTGCTCCTCCCACTTTCTGCCCATGTATGCAACATCTATTTCCTCACAGGTTGCAGAATATACCTAGTATGGAAGTGGTGCGATCTCCCATGTGTGTTCCTCTCCAAACAGGGATCACATTTCAAGGGTGTTTTTTTGGATGCTTTTCAAGAATACTTATTTCTATCCCTCAAACTGGTCCCTCCACCTATTCAGTACGAGATTCTAGCTGTATAGATGAGTGGAGGTAATGTACCATATCGAAAGTTATTATTTTCCTATACTAAAAATAGATTTCCAACTCTCTCTTTTTTGTTTTGTCTTAAGAAGTCTAAAGTTATTATTTTCCTATACTGAAAATAAATTTCTGATAGACTTACCTATTCTCACATGTATAGCTATTCTTGTTCAGTGCTCTCTTCATATGATAAAATTTTTTTTTGCATGCCACAAGCCTTGAACTCCCATGTAACCATTAATAAACATAGTTCAACTGCATCTCACATGTAAATCATCATGTGATAACCCTTCATCAATAGAAGTGTGACACATTCTCCTGATGTACTATTTAATTCTACTGAACTATCACTTCAAGATTAGGCAGAAAAGAAAGCACCAATTCTTCAGTGGGGAGGAAGGTTTGGAAGTGTGAAAGGAGGTAAGTACCAAAAAAAGAGATCTTAAAGATTTTCTTTTTCTCTACTAAACTACAGGTTCTACCTTAGCCAGTAAGATTGAGATTATGGTTATTCATTGAAGTACAATTTAAAAAATAAATAACTTATTTAAAAAAAAAGGTAAGCCTGGAATTTGAATGGATTATTAAGTTAAATAAAAGATTATTGAAAATCAGTTTACTCATTTTCTATTACAAATTTCCAAACTTTTTCACAATCTTGTTAATAATGTATCTAGATGTAGCTTGGTTATTGATTAACAGCTGAAATATATAGATAATATGTATTGATTAAAATGTGTTAAATATTTCAGGAGTTCAAGGAAGAAAATTCACATTCGTCAGAAGCTAAGATACTTGATACTACTTCAGAACCACCAGTTTGGTTTGTGTCATATATGAATCAAGTATGTGTATAAATATATTGAAAGTTTCCTTAAACTTGAAAATTTAGGCCTATTTTAATTATTTGTGTGTAAATGTCATTGGAGATACAAAGTTACTGTGTGGTTTATGCAGTTATAAGACCCTGTAAAACTGCTACGTGACGTTTGTATTTTAATGTGCAAATGTAGGTTAGATGAGTATCTAGATGATGTAATAACAATATATCTAATTATAAGCTGAAATTGAGATTACACAAGTCTTTCTTTGAATGTTTAAAATACCCTATTGTATTTGAAGACATGATTCTGTAAACAGCATATAAAGATTACATCTAAGAAACTAATAATGAGTGACCACCCATTCCAATTTAGGCAGGACAGTCCTGTTATTCTGAGAATTTTACGGTGTTCTTAAATCCCTTATAAAACTAAATGATATCTCCTTGCAAACAGTTTAGCCTAACATCATAGTAGCACACACACACTTAATTTGTAAACAGATGAAAGTCTGCTTTGGGTACAACCAGTAATCTGTTGGTAGAATTTGAAAAGGGGGTAATAGCTTCCTTCAGATACACACATCTCCCACATAAGTACAGAGATGATAACCCCTGTGATTTAAATGATAAGTAACTTGTCTTAGTAATAAATTCTAGTAACCTTGTGAAACCATATTTGTGTTTCAGTTTTTTTCTTTAATGAAAAGCGGTCACCATAAACAAAATTAATTTGGGCACATGAAAGATATACTTAAACACAATGAGCAATAATGTAATTAATGATACATCGTTAAAAGTCAAGATTTTGTCAGGTGATTTCACTAAAATATGAATATACTTGAATACAATGAGCAATAATGTAATTAATGAGACATCGTTAAAAGTCAAGATTTTGTCAGGTGGTTTCACTAAATTCAGTCACTAAAATATGAATATACTTGAATACAATGAGCAATAATGTAATTAATGATACATCGTTAAAAGTCAAGATTTTCTCAGGTGGTTTCACTAAATTTAGTCACTAAAATATGAATATGGTCTTGTTTACTTTTTCAGACTGGCAAGGTGACATCGTGTCACCCTTGTTTGTTTTGTTCTCACATTTAAAATGGCTAACCCCACTGCAATTTGTTTGTGCTTGAAACAATTATATAATGTGATTTAGTATTTATAAGATCTTAGGTTGAAAATGTTTGAAAATTTTGTTATGAAATGCTGTTTTATATGACTTTAAAAGTATTTCCTTTCATTTTAGAGTTTCTGTTTTTGTTTGACCCTTTTGCTACAGGTTCGGAGGATTACACTGACCTTGTGACCCCAAAATGATGATAAAATAGTTTAAATTGTGAATGTAATTCTCTAAAAAGTTATGACATAACCACTTTTACCTACCTGTAGTGAGAGTGTTAATGTATGGTTAAAATAATGTAAATGTATCCAATAAGAGTTATTGTTTTTTCAAAAAAATATTTTGTGTGTGTGTGTGTGTGTGATGTTCTAGTAACAGCATACTCATTTTCTCATCTGTTCATATAAGCTCTTACATACAATGAAAGTAACTATTAAAAAATATGAAACAAACAAAGAAAAGTGGATTTTAAAAAATATTATTGATCAGAAATCTCTATTTTATATATACAAGAAATTCTGACATGTTTGATGATCATCTGTTATTTATTATTCACCTTTACCTATTGGAGCAGTTATGCAGCCACGAAAATAGCATAAAACATCAACAAAAAGTAAAAGCATTGATTGTTAGACAAACAACTTGCACTGGTATCCTAGGGTTACACTGATATAAGCAGTATATTTCCAAATATACTAATAATTACTGTTTTCAGTAACTAAGGTGTTTTTGTACTTGCTTGTGCTTTTAGAGTAACAATAAATTCACTAATACACACACACACACACACAAAACTGTCATCTAAATAGTTTACCATTGCTGAACTCCTAACTTACCATACTCACTAACCCTAAATATCTTTACTTGATGTCTTTGTCATAAAAGAATATTCCTGTAACTTTCAAACAAACATAATAATGGAAAAGGATTATCATAAGTGAGAAGAATGTCAACAGAAACAAAAAATAAATATTCCAGTCTTATGGCTTAGTGCTGCATTTAGTAAACTTTGTTTTAGAATCTTTTGTTCTCCACTTTTCACTATCTCAGAAACTACAAGCTACTGCCTGTATAACTTTATTTTATGTTGATGTAGATGAACAAGATTATTTTCTATCCAATCATTTTTAGCCATTGATTCTATCTAGCTTCAAGGCTAAGATTTAGTAGTTACTGTCTATCATAAAAGCCTTTCTACACAGTGTTCTTGAAATGAAATCACTGAGAGAAAAAGAAGGTCAGAAACAAAACATGGATAAGCCCATTTATAAGGGATTATAGGTTCTGAGTTAATATAAACTTATATTTTGAGATGGGCAGAAAATTCTAAAACAAAGTCTGTAAGAACATTGTTTACAAGTGATATTTTTTGGAGCTGCACAAAAAGCAAACATTTTTGAAAATGTTTCTTTGAAAATTACACTTGATAAATTTTGCAAAGTTACAAAATATCAATTATTAACTATTTTCGAAACAGTGTTAGAATTACTCTTTTTTACTTAAACTGTGAAATTTGATATGCAAGTGTGCATTTAACACTGGAAAGCTACCCTGTGTGCATAATGGGTTAACCCTCTTCCCATGGGTATCTTTTACTGCATTTGGCATGAGGTTTTTAGTGAGTTAGATTCAAAATTTAATGAAACTACTTTTTGTTCCTGTTATACCAATTAGAATAGCATAAAATTTTAGTTATTAATTCATATTTTCATAGTATATAAGTTTTACATTTTTAATTTTATAAGGCAGTATTTAAAAACAATCCTGAATTTCTTCTCTAGGCATCCCCTCTTCTCTAAATTTATTTACCACCCCTCCAAGAAGTATGAAATTAACGTAATTTAATCATTATAATATTGTCATTGCTTAGGCAAAGTGTACTTTTCATGAACTTTGTATGTTGTCAGGCTTATATGCTGATATTGCTGTACTACTAGGAAATATAATCTTTGTATGGAATGGATAGTAATAATGTATAATTATCAATCATAGCATGAAGTCACAGTTCCTCCACAAGTTGCAAATCAAAACAGGAATTTTTGCTGTACAATTTGCTGACATACCAGCAAACTGTAATTAAATTTCACAAGTCACTTTTCTTGGAGATGGGGAAGAACCCTATAGATTATGGGGATACAGTGTTAAGGTCACCATTTCAAGAAATATAAATTTGATTTCTGCATGATAACAAAAGTTCTAAACAGCAGGTTTTAATCAAATTTCACTGGTCATCACTTCACTGATGGCTATATTTTTTAACAACAAAAAAATTAAACTTTTGTCCTAGCACCTAACTTAACTATTTAAGACTCAGTGTTCACAAGAATGTGATCACATAAATTAATTTTTATTTTTTATTATTATCGTTGTTGTTGAGTACACTAAATACTTCAGTGAAAAATTTGTAGTCATTTTACCATATGTGATGAGAAAATGTGTCTTTTGATAAGGTAGGAGAAAACGGCTGAGTAAAGTATTTAAGTTTATGTCAATATTTAATCATTCCATTGTGGGTTTTGTTTTTCAGCTTCAAGAAGAACTGACTACAGAGATCACCAAGCAAATTGTTAAAAGAGTGACAAAGTCCCTGGCTGGAGTTAGATTGAGGCCCCAGCCCAAGTACCAAAAAGACTCAAGTAGCTTTAGTGAAGATGAAACACCATTTTTAGGTGAGACCTTAGAGGTATATTCCAATATTTTAAGTTACACTTTATGCTCATCTGAGACTCACATCTTCGGGTTTGTCTTGTTATACAAAAATGATATTCTATGCCATATTTATGAACCTTAGAATATAGAAATAATATAATTGGATATGTATTTCATAGGGCATTAAAAAAGGATATTTTGTAATTTAGTATTTTTTGCATTTCACTGATGTTTTGTTATTTATCGTAGAAGACCCAGTACATGTAGGAATCATCTGTGATAGCTGTAACCGGGTGATACAGGGAATAAGGTTCAAGTGTTGGTATGTATATCATGAACGCTAGTAAATATCTTTTAGCATCTTTTCAATGACCGAAAAAGAGGTACATTATAGATACTGTCAAATATTTGCTTTAAGCTTAAGATAATTTCATGGATTCTTCCATTTCTTCATAAGTTTAAATATGACATTAATACTTAATAGCCAAAAGTCTGTTTTATTTCTTGTGGTAAATATAATTCTCCCATCTAGTTTAAATAATATTCTCTCACAGAATTTCATTTACTGCTTATATTTACAGTTAATATATTAAATTACCATTTATTTTAGGAATGGGTGACATTTTAAATTCTTATCTTCAGAAATCAAGTTTCTATACTCCTATTTCTTAATTTGGTTATAAATATCATTCCCTTTGTATTATAGAAGTTTTCTTTGCTGTTTTCTCAATAAGTTGGAAAGCTTTAAAAGCTGAGCAGATTTGTGCAATTAATCAGTGTAATTAATTACTTACAACCATAAATCAGTGTAATATTACATTACACTGATTTATGGTTGTAAGTAATTATCATGTGATACTAAATTGAATATGGTGCATGGATTCATCATGGAGTGATCATGAGAAATTGTTTTACTTAATTTTTTTTTCATTTAAGTTTGGTTTGTTTTGAATTTCACGCAAAACTACACAAGGGCTACCTGTGCTAGCTGTCCCTAATTTAGCAGTGAAAGACTAGAGGGAAGGCAGCTAGTCATCACCACCCACCACCAACTCTTTTACCAACAAATAGTGGGATTGACCATCACATTATAATTCCCCCATGGTTGAAAGGGTGAGCATGTTTGGTGGGACAGGGATTCGAACCCGCGACCCTCAGATTGCGAGTCAAGTGCCCTAACCACATGGCCATGCCGGGCCTTCATTTAAGTTTTTGTATCTAATGTAGCAAGTTTTTAATTTTTACATGTCAGTTAAGAAATATATCAATAAATAAAAACTATACATAAAAACAAGAAATTTACCATGTACTATAGCTACATGCCTATTTGTACTCAAGAACATACTTTGATAAGACTGTTTTTTTGTCACACTATGTTGGTTGTCCACAAAATAATTCATGTTGTTTTCAGATATGCATTTTAGAACATAAAAAAGTATGTCAGTCAGAAGAAAAGAATGTCTGTTTGTTTTTTTAAAACAAAGTCACACTTGGGCTATTTGCTGTGTCCACCACGGGGAATCGAACCCAGGATTTTAGCGTTGTAAGTCTATAGACTTACCGCTGTCCCACTTTTATTTTTACTTTTATATTACTTTACTTTTTTCTACTTTATTTTTTTTTACTTTATATTACTTTTATATTATTAGCTCTTTAGCAAAGCTATAAACAGATTTAAAAAACTGTTAACTGCTCAGAGCATTGACTTTGTTCAAGACATGATATTTTCTGGGAACTGTCATCTTCTGCTAAAATACAAGCAAAGAAAAGTATGAAGGAAATATGTTGAATTTTGCTCTTTCTAGTGGTCATAAACATGTCCAATAGCAATGTCACAGAGAATTAGAGACACATGGGTGTTGAACATTTGGTGATATCTCAGTAAAAAAAGAAGATATGATGTTAAAATTTTATAATCTGGTTTGCCAATATCTATAGTACAAGTCTGTAATTGGTTGGACACTCTAAATTCCATAAAAGTGTAGAAAGTAAAACCAAAATGGGGAATTCAGAGCACAGACTGATCATACGACAAAGGGAAGGGAAGATTGAGAATTTATTTAAATATTTCTCTTTGAAATTAAAACTTAGATAATAGAGAAATTTAAATTATAATAATCTATGTTTTGGTGCCAAGTGCTTATTGACACACTGACAATAAAGTATTTTAATTAAATTTTGAATGTAACTCTGTAAAACATGTTTTGAAATACACACTGACCCACTCATATATCCAAAGGGTTAGTAAATTTAATTGTAATTTTGATTAATCTATTGTGGTATCACATGTGTTTTTTTGTTGTTCCTAGTTTTCCTCGTTAATTTATCTATCTTCATCATCATCATGAATTTATCTATAACTGACTTTATTTGTTTCTTGAGAGAAAGGATTTTTTTTTTTCATAACTGAGATGGCTTTTTAGATAACTACAGAATGTTTCAATGATTCAGTAAACCTACTTTTCCTGGTTAAGCCAATCACCACAACTTCACTGGTAACTTATCTGAAGTGATATCTTGAGACAGGAGTTCAAATGAAAATGTAGGGTTTAACTTATGACATTTATTTATAATGAAAAAGTATGTTTTCCTTTGTCAGGAATTAAAAAAAAAAACATCAATTATTCTGCACACTGTAATTTATGGTAAACAGCATTGAAAAAATGGTATTAATGTTGGACTCCTTTATCATAAATGTTGTTTGGCATATAATATTGAGAAAAAACATTAAAGACACTCATGAATTCTGAAACTTGAGACAGCTATTTAGACAAACCTTAGAAATTCAACAGACTGAACTCTTGTTTATTTTTATTGCTTTGTTAGATTCAGAAAAAAAAAGTTGAATTTGTGCTAATGAATATTATCTTTCAAATTTTCAGGAATTGTTCAAATTATGATTTGTGTCAGAAGTGTGAATCTCTTCCAAGTGTCCACAATGAGGACCATATCTTTTTGAAAATTAAAAAACCTAGCAACCCTATAAATCTTCCTCAGAAGGTGAAAAAGAAATATCTTTGTGGCAAACAGCAACCAAACTCTCAAACTGATGCTGATAATGTGGACCCAAGCTTCATGCCTCAAGTCCTTGGATCTATTGCTAGAGGAAAGTGAGTCACATTTTGTCAGATGAAACACTGTGTGGTAGTACAATAACTGTTACAAGTTTCTTTGATTAAGGTTATTAGGACTATTATATGTTCATGCCACAATATTGAAAATTAGTAAATAATTATAATAATTTTTACAAGCAAAATAGTTTTTGGTTAGCTGCATTTCTCATTTTGTCTGTTTTACCTACATATATCAATAATTTGGATTATTAATTATTTCCACACATTAGTAAGTTTAGATGTGTGAAATGTAGTGAAAGTTAACATTTAAAATAATTTTGGCAGTGGCTATTTTTAGATCTAATGTGACAAAAACATTATAAGGAAAAGCTTACTATAAAGAGATTAAAATGGAACATTGTACCTTATAATTACTTAAGTGGAACAGTCAAAACTCAAATTTGATCTTATTTTTATTCTTAATATGCTTAGAGGTTTGCAGCAATCCTTTAAAAATCAAATTAGTTAAATATGAAGATTTATTAAATGTAATGCATTGCTTTAATGTGTAAAAAAAAGATAAATAGAATACATAAAAAAAATGTTTTCCGAAATGATAACTCGCTTCCTCACCAGAAATGCTACTCCCCTTGCACATCTGTTTATGAGATTTGCATGCCACTAGCCTAAATTCACATGTTTAACATGAACTGTATTGGTGCATTATGACATCATCATGCAACAATATCCCTCCACCAATAGGAGGCTGACATAATATTCATCCACAGTAACTATGGACTTGCACTCGTGATAACTTCATCGTTTTTTTTAGTATTTGTTTCAAAAGCATTAATTCTTATTATGAATTTAAATGACAGTGACTTCATCTTTGTCCTGTGTTGGTGATGATGTTACAAATACAGGCCCTATTTCTACTGTGACTTCAGGAAGCTCATTGACTATGGAGGATGTTACTGCCATTGTACAGCATATTATGCAATCCATCTTGCATGTTGGGCTTTCTATTCCCATCCTTTCGGATAACGTCCCTTCCTCTCAATTTGAGGTTGAACAGGAGAAAGACAAATTTAATTGCCTGTTCCCTCTACTTAGACTTGCTTTGAGTACCTCCCTACTGGTTAAAGAAAATCCTCAACCTTCCACACAGTTTCAGAACTTGATTTCTCTGGTATATTACTTTCTTTCTCTATTGTTTGTGTCTTATGATTCTTCCTGTCCTTTGCTCCACAATCTAATCCTCAAGATTAATTAATGTTTCCTCTCTCTCCCAACATTCAGGTTCATGCTCATTCTTTTCTAGAACAGTTTCACACCCATACCCACATGCCTCATCCTCATTGCCTCTTGATTCTCATGTCCTAGCTTATAACCATTCTTTCTTTTCCATTCTAGATTATCAGTCTTTGGAATGTCTATTACTTGCTTGGGGGTCAGACACCTTGTCTTATGTTTCACTCTCTAGTGCCCAGTTATTATGGCTTTATCTTTTTCTTGCCAACCTCTTATATTACCTCTCCTCCTTACACCTTTTGTCTGGGGGCACTTCAGTGTACTCCAGAAAGGTTTGTCAGGGGAGATTTTTTCCTCTTTTTACCAGGATGGCCCATACCCTTTCTTCTGCCCTATCCTTTCTTTCTTCATTCCTCTGCTGTTGGGACCTGTTGAGTCAGGATCCATTCCTTACCAATGTATGACTACCTATTTCTTATCTGTGTGATCTCAGTCAGACTACCTTTCTTCAACCCAACATTTATGGTGGTGTTCCTGATTCACTGGAGTCCAGGACTGAAGCAGCCTAGCACAATTTCTCTTTACCTTCACTGATTTCTCACCTTCACAACCTTGCCGTTCCTTGACCAGCTCAGTCTGCACCTAATCTTCCCATTCCACCTTCTTCTTCTTACTATCCTCCAACTACCTGCTGTCAGGTTCATCATATATCTCATCAGTAACTATCCTGTTGGGTTGGGCCTATTGGGCACCTGTCTGACTCATCTATCTTTGGTATCTTGAGGATGCAGTATAAGATATTTTGGCTAAACATACCATCGAGATGGTATATGGTCCTTCTTTGGAGTATTACTGTCATTTCTTTGTGGTTTCCAAGAAGACTGGAAACATGTGTCTGGTAAAAGACCTATCATCTCTCAGCCAATTTTGGTTGGAGAATTTCTTTTCTCTCCAGTGATCCTTTTCACTTGGGCTGTGGATGACAAAGGTGATGTGCCAAATGCCTTCCTCCACATCCCAAATACCCAGTCCTACATATGTTTTCTACTATTCACCCATCAGAATCACATTTTTCAATTTTGTGCTCTTCCCTTTAGCATAGTGTTGGTCTCTTATGTATTCAGTCGAGTCAAGAGGACCTTCGCTTGCCCCCTTCATGACTTGGGACTGAGATTCCACTGCTACATGGACAGTTGGCTCCTCTTAGCCCATTTCCAGGAGGTATCCTCTTCTCACACCTCTTTTCTTCTATAGAGCACTTCATGGTCACCCAATGCACTGTATCCAGTAATAGACCTTTCTGATTGGGATCTGGGCACTTCTCCAGGTCTCCCCAGTGCAACTTTCCCCCCCCTTTTCTTATTCAAGTGATACACAGGAGACCTTTGCCACTTACCAGTTCCTAGTTACTGGGGTGGTGGATCATGGAGAATCTTCACTGGTTGGGTGGTGGTGACACTGTCACTGTAATAAGGGTCCTTCTGCAGCCAGAGTCTGTCCAGTATTGTGAAGGTGAGTATGCACCATACCATCTGATTTCACCCTAACCACATTACACATATTGGCTCATTAACTGCTTGTGTGCAAGTGCTTGGTCATGAACACAATACACCCATCCTATCCCTGCAATGCTTTAGGTATTTTGCCCTTCCCTCCTCCTCTGGCAAAGAGTATACCCTGCTCATCTCTCTTATGGGTGTTCCCATATGTAACCCCTGCCATTGGGTGTCACACTCCATGGGCTTTCCCTTTGGTCACTTTCTGAAGGGAACTCATCTAGGTTTAATTTTTGTGCCATCCCTTCCACCTCTTCAGTATGAGATTATAGTATTCCTGTCTGTAGAGGTGAGTTATTGTGTCAGAAGTTAACGTTTTCCTAAATTGAAAATGTATTTCTGACAGATACTCACCTCCACTTACATTGTCAACCATCCTCCCTACTTCCAGTACACCTTTTTTTCTTGCCCCGTCTATGAATGAAGTTATTGCAAGTGCATAAGGTGTTTTAATGCATGTGGAATTTGTGTCACCCTCCTATTGGTGGAAGGTGGTTATAGCATAATGATGTAATCATGCACCAGCACAGTTCACATTAAACATATGAATTTAGGTGGGAGCTAGCTCAAGTCTAGTGGCATGCAAATCTTATAGGCAGAAGCATGAAGGAAATAACATTTCCGTGTGAGGAGGTGTATATCTATTGGAAATACATGTTCAGATTACAAAAATGTTAACTTCTTGAGAACATTGGTTTGTGTTTTCTTGTGAGAGAGTGTCTACCAGTGTCATATATGATCGAAATGAAACTATCTTGTTTATACAGTGTTCGCAGCAAAAAAGACAAGAAGGTTTTTAAAATGATAAAGAAGCTGGAAAAATACAGGTAAGTAGTTTGTTTTATGTTATAGAGAGAAATTTAAGTATTTATATTTATACTATAATAAATTTTTGCAGTATTTTGAAAATTGTTACCAATAATAGTATTACTGTTTGGTTTATTTGAACTCATTGTAGATGGGCCTCTTTGCAATTTCCACCGGTAGGATTTAGTCAAAATTGAGTGTAATTTTATAATTATTTAAACTGTATGTGTTCAGCTTGGTCTTTCTTCAATGCATTGATAATAGAACCAAAGAGCAAGGCCGAAACCAAACACAATCTTCGCCTGCAGCCATTTTGTCTACTCCAGGGCCCTATGTGCCGAATATTACTCCTGGCCCCTTGAAGCGAGAAAGATCCCCATCCTCAGCTCACGTTCATTGTGTTGAGTAAGCTAGCTTGCTTATGTTTTTTTTGGTTTGGCTAACTTTGCTAAGAGATCATTAAGTAGTTGTGATTTACATAGACTTGCATGGTGCTTTAGTGAGCAGATTTTATAGCAAGGTTGCAGAAAATTCATATAATGTATAAAGCTAGAGAACCTGTTTCTGAAGGTTGACTGATAGACTAGGGAAAAATTTGTTCAATTTTAGGCTTACTTATCAGCATAATTGACTTAAAAGTCTTATTACAGTTAAAAGTTTTAAAAACATTTACAGTTGATTAACAATTTTATTTTTCTCCATTTTGGTTTTGTGAACTTCTTTCAGTGCTGGAGTATCTAAAACAATTAAAATAAAACAAGACTTAGTCTAATATTACATCATCACTTAAATGTTTAACCCTCTCGCCATGGGCAGGGCAAAGTGCACATGCCACGACTTTGCAGAGATTTACATTCAAAACTTAATTAAACTACTTTATTATTACATTATATGAATATACTTGACATCAAAATGTAGTTTATAAATCAAATTCTAATATTTTTTACAAAATAAAGAGTAATTTAGATTTATTTTGTATTTTTTTATGGCGATTACAAGGTCGGTCAAATTGACCAATCCTTATAAAGTTAGGGTAGAAAAAATAACAGGTAAAATATTAAGTTTTACAGAAGAAAAAAAGTTTGAATTTATTTAGGAGGTTTTAGAGGTTGTGCAGATGAAATTTGACAATTTTCAGATGAAGGAAAGTATTTTTAATCTTAACATGAAAAATATTTTGTACTTTGAACAGTCAAAACTTTGACTCCATATATTCATGGAGAAATTTTTAGTGAAATACTTCATTAAAATTCTGGGTTTTTTTGCCTATAAACTTTAGTGGTTGCTGGAAAACATTCATGAAGATAAAACATATTAAAAGCATGGAAATTTCAAAGGTAAATTTTGGTCACAAACCTGGCCAAGGCTCGGCATGGCCAGGTGGTTAGTGCGCTCGACTTGCAATCTGAGGGTTGAGGGTTCGAATCCTCATTACACCAAACATGCTCGCCCTCTCAGCCATGGGGGCATTATAATGTGATGGTCAATCCCACTATTTGTTGGTAAAAGAGTATCCCAAGAGTTGGCGGTGGGTGGTGATGACTAGCTGCCTTCCCTCTAGTCTTACACTGCTAAATTAGGGACGGCTAGCGCAGATAGCCCTCGTGTAGCTTTGTGCGAAATCAAAAAACAAACAAACAAACTTGGCAAAATTGAGTGAGCTCATAGTGAGAGAGTTAATTACAGGGTTTGCACAGTTTAGGAAAATCCTAGAAAGCCATGGAATTTTGTAAATGAGTTCTTCATTAGTGGAAGACCTGGAAAATTAGTGGTTTTTATTAGGAGGTCCAGGAAAAGTCCTCGAAATTTTAACCCCATCACTCTTGTATCTCTTATTTTTATTGATAACAGCTTTGGACCATCATGCTTGTCTCAGTTTCACTAAAGTCAATCTCTAGAAAATGTGACTTGTAAAGTGTGAAGTACGTGACTTACCACCACTGATCAGTAACATGCTTTGAACTTTGTGCAATCCAGTTGTTGTCACATGACTGTTAGTGGAATGATACTATTAGCATAAAATAAGCCCAAGATACATTTGTTGGAAATCTAAAATCATAAAATTGTTGGTAGCATAAAGAACATTAATATTTCAGAATTTTCCTAATTCTGTCTTCAGCATAAACTCTTCAAAAATAATTAACAATGTTTAATAATAAATGAACTACAATTTTTGCTCATTTTTTCCTGATTTAAGTCTATTGGTCAATAGATTTTCTTTTATCTGTAGTTCCTGTTCCTTATTTGTGCTTTCAAGGATTTTGAATAGTCCTCTACTTATGGGTTTATTATAGTCATTTAGCTCATGTTTCTTAATGCTTGAAAATTATGTGCATTTGAAACTTGCATGTTTTTTCGATGTAAACGTAATCACATATTGGTGGATCCAATATAACGAATAGAACATTTATGATATTTATATTCATATACCGTATTAGACGTTTTGAGAATAGGTATTTGATTCTCATACTTCTGGAGAAATTTTAATCTGAATACAGGCTTAAAAACACATCTCAATTCAACTTTAAAGTATGCATGATGGCATAACTGGTTCCTAATCAAAATAACCTGTTTACCTGTATGTGGCAGGTATAAATAAATATTTTTTTAAGTAACATTCCAATTGAGTTGTGTAGAAAGAATCATATCATTTAAGTAGTCTTGAATAACATGATTTATAATGCCTATTTGAAAGGCATTTTCTCATAAAAGTTTCCTAATATTTTTGTTCTCTTAATGAAAGGTTTCTTACTTATTGGTTAATTTATATATCTGATGAACCAATATTTTAACCAGAATTTCTTAAAAGACTATGATATAAAACTGTCTGTTTTTACATACAAACTAATGAAAGTCTTCTTATTAAAAATTTCCTATTTAAGTTTTCCCATCTTTATTATGAAAAGAGGTCTAAGAATGGAAATTGTGGATTTTTTTATGGCCTACTCGGAAATGAATATCAAGATGGTTACTGTTATGATCATTTAAAAATCTCTACATGTTGAGTTTCGGTAAAGGTAGTAAAGGTTTCATATACTTAACTTTTATAACATACTGGTTTAAACAGAGAAGGACATTATTCAAACCAACACTTTTTATGGTGGCACAGGAACAAATTTGCAAGTGATGTAGCTAACTTAGGTCCCATAGCAACACCATCAACTTGGTCATATATATGATTGTCAAATAGAAAATGAGATTCATGAATTTATGAAATATGCTTAGGAAATCTCATTTAACCACTGTCATTTTGATATAAAAGTTCATTACGTGAATTTATGGCCTCATCTAATGGTATGTTGGTATAAATTAGCACCATTTTGTGATATATGTTACTAATGTTATTTTATTTCTTTTTGTTGTCATTAACCCTTTCAAAGGTCAAAGTGCACGTCCCAACATTTTACAGAGTTACTTTCAAAATTTAAATAACCACCTTTATTGTCAATGTATATGAATAACTGTGGCACCAAAACGTAGTTAATAAGTCAAATTGTAATATTATATAAGTTTTAAGTTCTTACTTTTATAAGGAAAATATCTAGATAAAATTCTCAACCTAACCTGGTATGAGAATTGTAACATTTGCTTTCTAGGTCTTCCCTTTTCTCCCCTGTGAGAAGTACAGAATTTAATATAAATTATTTATTATAATTTAGATATTATTGAGGCAAATCATAATTTTTATAGCCTTCATCTTTATTTATTTATGGAGCCACAACCTAGAAAATCAGATCTACTAGCCATGCCTAATTTTGTTTTCCTATTACAATTTGCAGTCATTCTAGAAAGAAAAAAAATGGGTAATTTAGATTTATGTCTTAACTTTTTATGGTGGTTAAGAGATCAGTCAATTTTACTGATCCTGTATAGAGTTAGGGTAGAAAAGATAACAGATAAAATATAAAGTTTTCTGTAAAAGATTGTTTAATATTTATTTAGGAGGTTTTGGAAATTATGCAAATGAAATTTGAAAATTTTCTGATGAAGAAAAATATTTTTAATCTTAATATGAAAATCACTTGGCACTTAGAGTAGTCAACACTGACTCCATATATTTACCTACAATATTTTTGATAAAAAATACTTAATTAAAAATTCTGATATTTGTGTCTACAAAAGACTTGTAATGGTTACTGAAACCTTGCCAAATTTTATGAACATAAATTAAGTACTTCAAAGTTATAGTATTTATACCTTCATGGTTACAAGTTACTTACCTGGTGGTTACAAGGTCACGTAAAATACACAAGCCCATTGCAAAAGTGTTAATTGTTCCTTCCAGATCTAAAATAAATAAGATTCTTTCAACACCAGTTCATGGTTTTACACATAATAATCATACCCTGTGATTACTGATACACATGACAGCACCCTTGACAGCAGATAAAATTATTAAGAACAATTGTTATTTTAAATATCGTTTTAAAGGTGGGTATATGTTATCATACAAGAAAATGTAAAGGCTGAATACCATAAGGTTTCCAGTTCTTTAAAAAGTTCTTTGATAGGTGGATTTGCAGCAGTAAACTAAGGAAACATTTAAAAATAACAAAATGAAGTTGTTTAGAAAACCATGAGATATTCAACATTAAGTGTACAATGCTGTGGGACTGGTTTCAGTAACAATATGAGTGTGAATCTTTGCTTTGTTGACTTAGTTGGCATGATGATATGTGATGATGTATGTTCAGCAATCAATTTGTACAAGTCCTATTGGAAAATTGAAAACATTTGTTAAATAAATATTATCTGGTTTTGGCTGCATGCTATATTAATTTTTAACTCTGACCAAAGCAAAGATCTTAGATTTTTTATTATTATTACAATTGTCTTAAATTAGTGACATGTTTTGTGCATATAGATGAAGGATATGTGCTTCTACCTATAGGTAACCTTGTTTAAGCTTTATTACTACCTCATATCAAGAGTAGTGTGTAAGCAGCATAATAAAAATTTTATAATAATCTCTTCTGCTGCCAGTATTTTTAGTGATCATAGTAGTAGTAAAAGTGATATTTATAAATAATATTAACTTCTAATAGTATATTTGCAATTGACATTCATTAAACTTCAATGCAATCAACCAGCCAGCAAAATAATATGATTTTATCAGCTCAATATCATCTCTAAGGGAGTTCACTGCACAAGGACTCCAACAATTTTCAGTATTTGTATTTTTTATGTTTTATAAGATTGTTGTCTTTGATAAGATCTGTACTAATATTTTTTAGTTTATTGTCTTTTTTTTATATTTTTTGCAAAACTCAACTAAAATTGATGGGACCAGAGCCACAGAAAACCTGGTGCTGGTCCCAGACCAGCTACCTTGAAAATACATGTGATTGGGGTTGAGTATGCTGTTTTCAAAAATGACTTATCATAACCAAGAACAGGAAACAATA